CTCATGATCCTCCCAGTCTCCTCTCCCAGAGAGAACTCATCATAACCTGCAGTTTATCTCCATCACTCTGTGACTCCAAGCCTCCTGGGACATTAAACTCTAGATCTTATCTCTCCCAACCTTCCACTCCTATCCAGCACTTAACCCAGCCCCCACCCCCACCCCACCAGCATCTTCTGGGATGCATGGTCTGTCACTGACAGGCCTTCCCATGTCCTCAACTTCCTGAACACTCTCTTCCCTGCCCTATGCTAATGAACTCTGAACATCTGTTGAAGAAACCGCTCCCTCAACAGCCCTGTCAGGTGTTCCTGGCTCCTTGTTGCCTTTTCAACCACTGTTCCCCCATCTTCATTATAACCCTCCAGTGCCTTAGAAGCACAAACCTTTTGAACTACTCACTTTGCTCCTCTCCCTGCCATCGCCCATTTTCATGGTCTTCCGCCTTTTCTTGAGGATTTTAGCTCCTGGCTTACTGTATATTTCTTTCCACCAGGACTCCTCTGCCATTTAAATGACTTTGCCTTCCACAGAGACTATGCATACATTATCCTGGCCTCTTGATTTATCTACTCACTTTGCATGGACTTCTCACCCAATGCTCACTTGGCCATGCACTTCCCTTGCTATACTTCAGACCTTGTTATCACTGTTCCCAAAAGCTCAATTTCAAGCACACTAGTTTCTAACCAGCTTACTTGCTCCACTAATCCCACTCTGACATTCTTTGAATCCACTGAGATCTGCCACCACTTTTTAAATGCTCATCACCTGTCTTATGTCCCTACATCCTTCCTTATCCATCACTATCATCATTTTCCTTTCCTAAAACCTTAATTCCTTTTCTCCTCTGTCTTATTTGCCTGGCAATACCTTTAACCTTGGATGAATCCAACTTCCCACCTATTCTTTCTTTCCTGAGCAGCAAATGTGATTGGAGAAAAAATAAACAACCATCTTGGCTCATCTCAGTTAAATTTATGGCCACAAACTTCTGGTGGATTCTCGGCACTGCCTAGCAAGCTATGCTATGTCCCTGTTCAATTAGCTCTCAAGACTAAAAATTCTAACCTCTCCTCCTCAATTTTCAACTCCTCCTCCCCTCATACTCTCTGCTGGTAATTTTACTATGTCCCTGAGAAAATTAAAATGTGACCTTTCTCACTCTCTAATCATCACATCTCCTAATATCTGTATCCATATACTTTGTCTTCCCTAGTATTAAAATCAATTAACTCTTCTAGCTCCTAAGGTCACACCTCCTTTTATATACTGGAGCTCAGCCCTGGAGAAATTTACTCCTGCAACTGTCCTTCCTCTCATCTACAACATCTATAGGAGCTTCAGGTCCACACATACACATACTATGACATCGCCCATCTTAAACACATTAAAAACGTTGATCCCACATTCCCTCACCAAGAACCAGGTAAATGTTTCAAAAGGGTCGGTCTCCGTCTGCACTTTCTCATCATCCCTTCACTTGTCTCGGCTCCACTGAACTGTCCTCACCAAGTTACCAAGGAGTTCTCAATTACCAAAGCCAATGGTCAATTCTCAGTCCTCATGTTACTCTAACTTCTCAGCAGCATCTGACAGATCGGTATCCTTCCCTCCTGAAGAAAAGCTTTCTTGATTTTCAGGACACCACACTCATGTGGTCTTCCTCCCACAGCCCCTCTTGTTCCCCAGAGCTATTTTAACTCCCTAAATGACCCCATCCTTTATTGTGACATTAAATACAATTCACGCATTCATAATTCCTAAATGAGAATCTCTAGTGTCCGCCTCTCCTGAGCCCCAGAATTGCAGATCCATCTTCCTATTAAAGTGTCTCCATTGGGAAGTCTAATAGGATAGGAACCTAAAATACCCAAAACTGAATGAATGAATGCTTTCCTTTAAATTTTTTCCTTCCCAAGTCTGTCCCATCTCAGTAAACGGCATGACCCATCTACTCAGGCAACAAAACCTGAGATTCCTCTTTCTGCCCCATATCCAACCCATCAACATATCCTGCTGGCTCTACTTTTGAAATGCAGCAGTAATCCAGCTACTTTTTAACACCTCCACCGCTCACCCTAAACTCTGGGGAGGCTGTAACAGACTATTGCTTCTATTCACACTGGTTGTACTCATTCTCCACACTTCAGTGATCCTTTTAAAACTGAGACTAGATCATGTTATGCCCTTACCCAAAACTTTTCAGTGGCTTCCATTATTCTCAAGCATAGACAAGGTCTTCGCTATGGCCCACAAAACCACACAAACGCTGGCTTCTGCCAACCTCCTTAATCTCATGTTCTCTTTCCCTTTCTCACTGCTCAGCCATGTCGGCCTTCTCCCTGTCCTCAATCTTGCTAAGGACCCTCACTCCTCAGGACTTTTGTTCTTCCCAGAATGCCCTTCCTCCAGTCACATGTCCAACTCCCTAACTTCACCAAAGTCCCTGCTCAAATGACACCCACCTCCAAGAAACTTCCCAAGTGCATTCAGTATGAATTCTCCCATCCGCTGATGTTTAGTGCTGACGTTATCTAGTCAATCCTCATTATTCAGATTCTGTACTTGTGATTTTGCCTACTTGCTAAGATTTATTTATAACCTTAAAAATCAACACTTACAGGGGCACCTGGTTTGGCACAGTTGGTTGGATCTCAGACTCTTGGGTCTCAGCTTAGGTCCTAATCTCTGGGTTGAGATCGGGCCCTGCGTTGGGCTCCACCCTCAGCATGGAGTCTGCTTGAGACTCTCGCTGCCCCTCTCTACCCCTGCTCTCTCTCTCAAATAATCTTAAAAAAAAAAAAAAATTAACATGCTTTTGTGGTCATTATGGACACCCACAGAATCATCCAACACATATGACCCCAGTTGAGGTCTAACAACTCAACACTGCCTTTTTGATTCAGCTCTCATACTGTAAATACATATTCTTTTTACGACATATTTAGTGCCACATTTCTTTGTGTGTGTGCTTTTGGTTGATTTCACTGTTTAAAATGGCCCCCAAGTGCAGTGTTAACTTCTGTCTGGTGTTCCTAAGCACAAGAAAATTGTCACTTGCCTTACAGAAAAAACTCATGTGTTAGATAAGCTTCATTTGGGCATGACTTATAGTGCTGTTGGCCTTGTATTCAATAGGAATGAACCAACAATATATATTACATAAGGTGTCTTTAAACAGAAACACACAAAAAACAAGGTTATGTGTTGATCAGCTGACAATAATGTTGTGACCAGAGGCTCACAGGAACCTAACCTTTTATTTCCCCTAGGAGCAATGGTTCAGTATTTCATGTTCATAGAATGCTCTCGGAAACTTTACAGAACCACCACAAATAAGAATCAACTGTATCTCCTATGACTACTTAACATTATATATGTACTTTCTTGTTTAGAAGGCAAGTTCCTCTAAAGAGCAAAAATTTTTTTTTTTTTACTGCTTGATCTCTGAGGTTTATTACAACACTGCTCGGTACTTAGCAGAAATCTAGAAATACTTAAATAACAAGGATGAACAAGCAATTCTTCAGAGAAACTCAATTGGCCAATAAAGTCATAGAAAAAGTTATATAAACATGTAACTTTATTATATAAAGTTATATTTAACCTCACTAGTAATCATGAAAATGCAAATAAAAACAGCCAAGGTTTTTTTTTCACCCTCAATGCTACTACTTGGTGGTGAGGGTTCAAGAAAGCCAATCATGCAATCATTAAAAGACTTTAAAATGCGTATCCTGTGATCCAGCAATTCCACCCCCAGAAAATAAGACCTGGGTCTGTGCAAAAACTTAACAATAATTGCTGTGGCACAATTAATAACAAAACGGTACAAATCATCTCAAAATCTAAAGACTGGTGAAACAATGATAATCCATACAATGTTAATATAACATAGCTAACCAAAAGCTGTCAAAACTATGATGGAAAAATGCTCATTAAACATTAAGATCGTACAAATAGGTACAATAGAATTTTTAAAAGTCTACATGTATAAAAATATGAAAATGTTTGTAGTAATTACCACTATTACCAGTAGTTAAAATGGATGATCCAAAATCTTCATATTTTTCTGTATTTGCCCAATTTCTCCTGACAAACATGCAGTACTTTTGTAATCAGAAAATGGGGGGGGGGGCGATTGGGAGTAAATTGACAAATCAATCATGAAGTGCCGAGTCCCTGGCAAAGTAAATATCCCAAGACCGCCACCCTTAAAACCTTAGTAACGGTTCCTACTAACTCCAATCACTACAGCAGTGGTGCTGTTCAAGCATCCAAACTTTAAATGAAAACTGATAGGTGGAACACATACTTCTAAGCACTGTAGTAACCATGCTCCTCAATCCCAGCTGTACAATTTACTAAGCTCTGTGCTCTTTATCTGTTAAATGTGATAATGGTATCTCGCTCACAGAAATGTTGGGGTTTTAATGAATTAGTGTTTCATACAAAACAGAACCCATATAGCAAGCCTAATAAGCACCTGGGTATTATTTTCTCCCAAAACAGAACTGTTGGATGGTGTCCCACTTTCCTCGCAGAAATACCATGTGCTGGGAGAAAGAGGGCATTTATGATAATGTGAACTCTTATTAACACAAACATAGATTATTTTCCTGTTAGAGATCATTTATTAAACGTGTAACATTACTTAGAGTTCTAGTAACAAGGTTTCCTGCCATCTTTTGTAAGTAGAGAAGTTGTATGGGGGGAGGTTTACATTCCACAGCACTCAACTATTATATAAGAAACAGGCTTAGGGTCTTAATATGATCACAGAACCATTACCAAACAGTCACACATTCTATAGTCCATATACAATGACTTAAGTTTGTACAAACTAGTGTTTTTCCTAAAACAGTGTAACCAAAATTAAAATGTAGAAATTTAATGTACCCAACTGTAAAAAATGCCAGAAACTAGACATTAGTTTTCTAGTTTTCATTCTGAAATCCTCCTTGTCCTATAATACAAAATGAAGCAAACAAGGAAAACCAGTTTTTGATCATTTTAATTTGTAAAACAGATTACATGCTTTGTGAGTAGAACCAAAGGAAAAGCCTTCAGTAGCTTACGTTTTGTTCACGACAAGGCCAGTGTGTAAACACTACTTAATAACATACTAAGTTTTTCCAAGAGCAATAATAAATATTAAACTAAAAAGAGGTAACACGCACTCAACAACTCTCAAACAGATATTCATCAAAATGAGGTAAGTCTAATGTGTCATTTGCTAAAGAATTTAATGAAGTGGAAAAAAACTCATCAAAAATATCAGTCTTCATGGAACTTTCCAAGTTCAATGTCCTAATGCAGACATTATTTGTCACTGAGTCTGGCTGAACTTCACATTGATTTTTCTTGCTGGGGCTACAGTAATTATGGTCCTGTCTCAGATGTGTGTTTTGGGGAATATCATTTAATTCAGTAGACACTGGTGCTGGGATGTGGTCATCTCCCATTTCTAAATACCTAAAGTCAGCCTCCCCATTTTCTGAGTGCTCTGTTGAGACAACAGTTGTAGGAGACAGTAATTCTGCTAAAATTTCCTCATGACTTTGACTACTATATGGAACCGTGGTGCACCCAGATTTATTATCAGCAGTATCAATCTGATACTGTAGTTCTTTTAACAAGTCTTCTATTGATTCACAATCATTTGGAGACCCACAGTGGGACACATGTTCTAAATTTTCAGTTGGAGGTGTTCCTTTTTGGGGGGAAGACATAAGAGCAGCTAATTTCTTCTTCTTTGCCTTAAGTTTTTTAAGAAGTTTTAGACGAAGTTTATGAATCTGACCCTCAACTGAGTCTCCGTGGTTTGCTGGAGAAACACCATTTTCTTTTACACAAGAATCGTGACTGTGGTGAGCTCCACAGGAGGGGTTTTCACATTTCTTCAAAGCGTCTGAATCAGCAGTAACACTAGCACATACACGGGAAGTCGTGCTACCAGACGATGGATGGCTTGATGGAGGGTTACTAACTGTAGGAGGCTTACTTGCACACCTATTGGCTTTCCTGGATGCCCGGTTAGCCTTTTGGTTTATGCCTTTCGTTTTAAAGCCACCAAAATTACTTGCCCCCTTAACTGAAGGCTGCAAATCAGTGACAGTGTTTCTATTATGAGCTGAAACACAAGGTGGCATAAAAGAAGCACCCTTGCTTAATAAGCCTTTAACCCAACTTCCTACAAATGGTTTCTTCTGAGTTTCTTTCAGAGATGAATTCTGTACTGACTTCGCTGTTATGGTTTGAGAAAATGCCACAGTTTCATTTTTTTTCAAATTAGATACCTGAGCTATAACAGCTTGTTCTGGTTTTAATTTCTCAGTTTTGGGTGAAAGATATTGTTTTAATGGAGTGTCCTTCTTTAGGGCAACTGTACCCTCAACTTCTACTGGCTTTACTCCGTTTATAGGGTCAGTAGCATGCGTAGTATTCACAGGCTTAGTAATTACGGTGTCTTCTGTACTCGGCTGTGCCAACTGCATGTTTGCCCCTACAATTTGAGATGGCAAGCCTACATTCGCGAATTGGTCTTGAGTAAGCTTTTCAACACACGGAGCTGATACTAAAGAAGCCATTAGTGACTCTTCTGATTGCAAGGTATTGGCTTTGCCAACTCCTGCATTTTCTGCCACAGGTTCCTTTTCTAAGAGAAAACATTCAGAGTTAACCTGTATTTCTTCAAGTGTCAAAGACAAAATATTACTGTCAACCCAACCTTCTGGGCCTGAAAGTACATGATGCCCACGCGTCACAGATGCACCCTGTGAGAGAGGGCTCGGTGCAACTGCCGTCCCGGTTGTGCAGGGCGGCTCAGCAGAGGCAGCGTCACCCCCAGAACACCATGTTGGAGCGGCTGGTTTCTCATCACCGAGAGCAGCCTCCTCATTAGCCTTTTTAAGTGGAAGGCAGGCAGATGCTTTATCTGTCACATGAGACGTTTTTCTTTCCCAAATAACAATATGTATCTCTGAAGCAGGAACTTCAAATTTCTCACGGCTTTCAGAACGTAGACCTTTAAGGTCATCACATTCCAGCCAACTTCCTGGAGGATGAGGAAAGTTCAGTAAATGAGGTTAGACATTCAAAACCCACCAGCCGAGGTTCACTTTCTTCTGGCCATTTTAACTGCTCTATCCCTGAATATCCACCAAAAGAGAACACTCAAGAACATGGCCTTATACTTTTGTCACCATTTTTCTCTGCCAAGGTTAAAGTCCTTATTTGGCTAATAAAAGTTATAGACTAACATCCAGAAATTTGAAAAACTGAGATAGTTTTTACCCTTTCCTACAATACCCACAAAAATCGAGAGAGAAGTCTATTTAATTTTTGTGACTTAGAATATAGTATATCACCCAATTTATCCAACAACATCAGAAAATGGATTAAATTTTTCCATATATATGAATTTTCAAGATAAATGGAAGCCTGTTACCCTCAAGTACCCACATTTGTTTCAATTCTTATTTCAATTCAATTCTTCTCTTTTTTTTAGTTAAAAAAAACCTTAGAGGTTTTTAGGTGTTTGCTTATTTTATTTCTGAGCTTCTATTTTCTCATTTGTCAAGTGAAAACGAAGTGATAGATTACAAGGGAAGAGGTTAACCTCCTCTACACACAAAAAAAGCCCCAAGAAAACCATTCACTAAATTAATATGGATACACCCTTATAAACCACACGAACCTACTATTTCTTCTTTTATACCCATTAAAACTTTGAGACTCTTTTGTTTGCTTACGTCAGTGGTTCACCACCACACATGCACATTAGAATTACTTAAGTCACATTTGGGCCTAATCCCCAGAGATCGATTCAATGACAGGGGAAAGCCAAGACATTTTTTATAAAGTAACCGTGATTTTTATATGTTGTCAGGGATGGAAACCATGTAACTATCTAACCTACCTGAAAAGGATTTCAGATTCCCTGGAATATAGTAAAAAATTAAAATAAATAAGTTGCTTGTTTAGTTTTTGCTTATGTTATTGAGAACCACTTCCCCCCAATTCTGAAGTAGGGTAAAACTTTAAGGTGACAGTATTTATAACGTGAGTTTTAGTTTGCAAAGTGCTTTTACAACACATTTTTGTGTCATCCACCCAAACTATCCCCAAGAGGAAAATATCAAATATAAAAAGTGTCCAAACAATAGAAAAGAGAAAAAAATATCACAGAGACCCCTTACCAACAGCCTAATATGACACTTTACGGGGCTGAGTGGTCTTGTTTTTTTTTTTTTTTTTTTTTTTTTTTAAAGATTTATTTATTTATTTGAGAGAGCGAGAATGAGAGAGAGAGAGTACATGAGAGGGGGGAGGGTTAGAGGGAGAAGCAGGCTCCTTGCTGAGCAGGGAGCCCGATGCGGGACTCGATCCAGGGACTCCAGGATCATGACCCGAGCCGAAGGCAGTTGCTTACCCAACTGAGCCACCCAGGCGCCCCTGAGTGGTCTTGTTTAAGACAAAGTGAACATTGTGAGAAAAACAAACTCACTATTAAACCGTATTAGATACGTGAAAGGAAAAACTTAGCAAAAATTATGAGCCATACTATTTAACCTTCTACTGAAAAGTTTAATTATTTAAATAAAGGCTTTATCTTAAATTATGAATTTCAGATATTGTTTCACAGTTCTAGAAATAGATGTTTACTTTTCTTTTTTTCAATTTTTTTTTCTTTTTAAGTAGGCTCCATGCCCAATGTGGGACTTGAAATCACAACCCTGAGATCAAGAGTCACATGCTCTACTGAGTGAGCTAGCCAGGCACCCAAGAGATGTTTATTTTTATTTATATTACTAACATCTGCAAACTAAGCAAAATTTTTGTCCTTTCTCAATTAAAAACCTTCAGTACGATGCACTTTCTTTTTAAAAGCAGTACATGGTTACATATCTAAAAAAATCAAAATCGCCACCATTCATTTTTCTATACTGACCATGTATTTCTCATGGAGTAAAAGCAAACATACTAAGTGGGAAAAAGCAAACTGTAAACCAACAGTATTATATGATCTCCTTCTCTGTCCAGAAAAGAAATATGTATATGCATGTGTATACCCATACTTATACAAAGCAAAGATAGGAGTGATTCTAAACTAGAGTGACACAGGAGAGGAGGGGGCAGAAGAATTAAAGGCAAGGGCAAGACATGAGAGGAAAAAAAAGAGTCAAGGCAAAGTTTGCCTTTAAAAAAAAAAAATCTAGAGTTTGGCCTCTATGCCTATTATCATAAAAGAAAAAGGTTTAAATACTTACCATCCGCATCCAAAATCCATGTTATAAAATGATTATTTGCTTGGTACTGAATTACAGAAGTTATTTGATAAAGACAGCCTTCAAAATGAAATGAATAGTGCTGCAAGTCGTTATGTGGCAAGCCTTCCACAAAGTGCAACATGAGTATGGGAGACACTCTGTGGGAGAGAAAGGCAAGTGAAGTCAAACAAATGTAACGCCCTGTGCCTGGTTACACAAAAGATGGTCTGAAGCAAGGAAGTCACACATAACATGTTCAAGGCTAACTGCACTAATTTTTCTTGAGAACCTCCAGATGTGTGCCTTAATTAGAAACGGAGAACTCACTCTATGAAGTATGTAACAGTAAACCCTTCTCAGGATGGTATCAGTGACAGTTGGAAGCCATCATGCAGTAAGGCTCTAACACAGACCATTAAGCAAAAATTGCTCTGTAAGCCACAATGCTGCTTTGGCTTAAAGATCTCTTGGTAACATAACTACTCTGTAAAATCACAGGGAAAAATCCAGGCCTTTTACAATTTTCTTGGGCATCTAGTGCCCAAATGAATTACTTTTGTTTTATAGGTAGTATGTGAAACAAAGTAATAAACCTAAGACACTGAAATAAACATTTAAAAAACCTCAACATGCTAATAATTTGGTCTATTTCACTATTATTTCCAGAAGCAAAGAGGTCCAACAAAGTAAAACTTTTACTTAGGAAGTTTAATTTGTACCTAAAACAGAGAAGAAAATACAACATAATGGCTGATGTACTATAAACTTTAAGACATCCATAATTTCAAAAATACACTTTATCATTTCAGTAACATACCAAACCAGAACATAGAACCTAATGATGGGCCTCAGATAACCAAATTTAACAAAGCTCTCAGGATTTAAGAAAAATGATGAATATCTCTTTTCCCAATATTTAAACAGCTGTCAAACTTACTTAGCTTATCAAAATTTATTCAGCTGAAATGAACTTGAATCAATGTCCAAAATGCAGATTATTCAGACTGACAAGGAATAATTAATTAGTAAGTTATCTCTTGTCAATCATGTTAGAGGAATAATCAAGTCTTCAAAATTAAAGTACCTATAAATAAAAAGTGCTGTAACACTGTCTATAATGCTAACGCCCTTTGATTTTTATCATATCTACTTAATTGATCTAAGATACCACTGGTTATAACATATACCACTAGGAAAGAAAACTGCCAACTAAACTCTACCATGCCATCAATTCTTAGATGTTCTCCCATGTTAACATTTGAAGAGTGTGCCTTTGAATCAATAATCCACAGAGAAACTAGAGATCTGTTCTCACAGCTGGATATGCAGGCTTAGGCACCTGCATGACTCTGTAAGTACAATATTTAATTCTCCTGGTCTCATACGATAGATACCTTTTCAAGATATCTTCTAAGGCTAGTTACTAAAACACTCTTGTTGATCCCTAGACTACAAAAACTCATGAACTTCCTGCCTTCTTTATGTGAGTTAAACACAGAAAGTGTTAAATAGGCTGCATTTCTTTCTTAATGGCATATTTAAAAACTGGTGCAACTTATAAACGATGGCATCTTGGATTCAATTAAAAAGCATATGCCCCGCTCATCCTTTTCTACTTCATTTTCTTCTCTGGTCCCCTAGACTCTAGTGTCCCCTAAATGTTACAGGTTCCTCCTACCCATAATTCCAACTCATCTCATATGCAGCCTCTCAGCTGAGGGCACAACTTTACTCCTAGCTTGGCAACAGATTTTGTTCTCAGGCTTCTTCCTACCTGCAATGCCTAGCATGTCAAAGATGATGCTCAGAGCTGAGAGGACCAAGTTAGGTACGGACTCAACCATAAAAAAATTGGATGGGATGGCTTAACAGAACTGGAATGAGAGTCACAAGAGATTTCAAGCCAAGATCCATTTGCATTCACCTCCCTAACTTTAGGTTAAACTCCTCCTATTATAAGGATCTACCCTCAGGAGAAGAGAGAAAACAGAAAACAGAGAAAGCAGCACACAGGGAACTGTGCCAACTGCCCTGGCTACCCACAGACAGCAGGGAAACACCAAATCCCTGTCCCACAAAGAGCAGCCAGTCTTGTGCAAATGGCCTGGAGGACAAGTGTTTTATTTCTAATCCCAACTAATGTAACGTAGTAACTCATATTTTAGAAAATGCAAATTTAACAATGTGCATATATGTATTTCTGAACTGTAATAATGTAGGCTTTAGGCAAAAAAACTGCAAATATAATTTTTAAATCTCATTATATTTTAGATCTAATTACATCACTGAACGATTTCCCATTTCAGATTCTATGACAAAAAAATGAAATATATGAGTAAAATCAGATGTAATTAAAATAATTAGAATTGGTTCATATTAATTATAACAAAATACTTCTTCAGAAAAACTCAACTGTTAAACAAAGGTTTACAACTATATTCTTCGGAGGTAAGTTCAAGGATCTCATAAAATAATAAAGCATTTTGTGCCACACAATGAAGATTTAAATTAAGAAACATTATTTTAACTATTTTATATATCAGTACTCCATCCAAACTTTTGTAGGGGATGGTTTAGTTTATCTGCTTGGAAGAAAGTCTCAAAATCATTATATTTAAAGATACTTTGATGACACTTTAATAAGGCCTATAAGCAAAGACCAGAAACATCTAATTTCTCTTCTTAGCCTCCCCTAACCTTTAGTTTAAAAAAAAAAAAAAAAATCACTGTTAAAAGCGAAGGTTTTTAAATTTTTTATATATTCTTTAAAAACGAAGTTTAAATAAATAAACTTTTCAAATGACAATCCAGGACAGCGTGTGACCAGACTCCTAGAGGTGATCATGGCAGTAATGAGGTTCATTTTAGGAGTTTGTGAAGTAAAATTAAATCAGATTCTAAGTTGGTGCTCCACATCACCATGCTCTGAATATAATTCCTAAATAATTTACTTAAAGTAGCAGATCTGAACTTGACAGATCTCATTCATCTGATTTATCAATGGACTCTTTCTAATGGGAACATATTAGAGATGTGGACTGCCTGAGACAAGGTGTTCAGGGAACTTACAACACTATTAGCTTTTAGAATGCTGTAAGGTGGAATTATGCATGATATCATGATGGGCCTAACTACTTTTAAGTTATCCTTAAAAACTATATTAAATTTGTTTCTAAATTCCATTAGACATCAACAAATCAAGAACATGAATTTCAAAGTAAAAAACTACAGAGGACTTTATAAATACCTTGTCATTTAAAATTTAAATGAAATCACATACTAGTTCAATTTACTTTTGAATATAGTAAATGTCCAAACTATAAATTCTGCTTATAAATTGGCCTGTTAGAACTCTAAACACATTTCACATTGAAACACTTAGCGCATACACTGCCAAATCAGAGCACAAATCTTTAACGTAAGTAAAGCAACATATTTGTGTAATTAAAAACTGTATGTTGCAATGTGACCAATTAACAGATCAAACAAAATAGTAGTATAAGTTTATCTTCAATGTGGGCTTGAGAAAAAGCAGGTATAATTGTTAGATGAAATTACATACACCAGGAAGCCTCAAGTAACCCAACTGTCCAGTACAGGATGGCAGATACCCACAACCTGCTACCCTTCTACCTCTTTCTCATCAAGGACAGGGCTTAAACAAAAAAAACAAAACAAAAAAGGGCTCCTACAACACTCCAATCTCAAAGTTTGAAACCCCACACAGCCAACAAAGACTATGGACTTCAGCTTAAAGGTACCTTCTCTTCTTTTCCACTCAAATGTTCCAAATGATAGTGAATGACCAAAAAAAAAATGGTAGTAAACCAAAAGGACCAACAAGGGAAAGGAGACATAAGCAAACAAGAAAACAACAAATATTTTGAAAGCAAAAAGCAAACGGCAAAGTGGTAACTTAGCAGAATGGATGAAGTGATGACATGAGTGCTATGGAGTGGGCACACTGATGAGAAGAACTTATACACCTCACAGAACCTCTAGAAGACTCAATACTGATAGGTGACAGATGTTGAAGAATGTGGGGGTAAGGCCCTGAGCTAAAAACTGGGATAGTGACAGAGAGTATAAAGAACACTCCCACGGACCAGGCCCAGAGAGGAACTCTATAAACTGGAACACTGGAGCAGAAGGATGGAAGGTGGCAGAAGAAAGGTTTCTAGAAAAAAAGGGGGAGGGAGGAGGATTCAAAAACTGAGAAACAATTAAGTGTTTGGAAAATTTATTGATGGGTGTTTGAAGAATTTGGAAAAAATTCACAATGTATACATAAACAAAGCAAATGAAAACACAAGGAAATTAGTAATTCCAGGAAAAATGAAAAGTTATAAAAGAAATGAAACATAACCTTGTATACTGCTTGGCTGGAGGGAATATACGTATATTCATAATAATAAACAATGAGTACTGATTTAACAAAAAATGTAATCATATAGGAAGGAGGACAGGGAGAGGTTACACAGAAATGGGGCCCAGGTGTTGTTAGCAGAGTCCTAGTCCTCAACTACTGTAAAAGGAGAAGACTATATAAAGACCATATAAAGAATAAGCACAGTGTTCTGAATTGTCATAGTAAATACTACCTTAAAGGTGTAAAGTAGATGCTTAAAGGAGAGGAGGTAGGAGGGGCACTGCTCTTTCTCCTTCTAAGTCTGGGCACTATTAGATTAGCTGAGAATTTATTACTTGGATGAAAACAAACCTTTAGTAACGATTGAGGATTCCCTGGTACATCCTCCAAGGGCATCAGAAAAGGTAAGAAAAGGTTAACTGTTCTTTATGACACCAAATTATACTTCCAAACATTTCTTTACTGTAGAGTTAGAGGTGAGGGGGACTAAACCTTCAGGTTACACAGGATGTGTAAGTGTGTGAGTGTATTAACTAACAAAAGAGAGACAAACTGCCTATATTGGAACTGACCTGAGTTTAAAATATGGGGCTTCTGGTAGCAATTTTAGAACAAAGTAATTCTGACCAGTGGTCCCACTGAGGACAAACAGAAAAGCTGGCGAAATATAATAAAAACACATCTGCTCAAAGGCAGAGAAAGCTTATAAGATGATGAAGAATTAGCAGCTCAAGTTCTGGGAGAAGATGGGAATTCAGACAGACGAGCCTGTGGTTCATTTTTGAGTCATCTTAGTTCTTGATATTACATTAAGGAAATCTCAGAATTCTAGTGACTCCAAGCAGTTGGCAGAGAAGAGAAAAACTGAAGATTAATATCCTTAAAGGGAGAAAAAAGGCAAAAGAAGAAAAGGCACCAGTAGCGTGGGGTCAGACAATCACCCTAAGACAGGTCTTCAGCGGTATTTTGTCTGGGACAGTTTGCTTACTGGCCAGAGTTCTTGATAGAGGGGCATTTTGGTAATTTGTAACTATGTTGTTTAATGCAAACTTCTGAAAAGTAGCTTGTAGTCAACACTTGCAATTCTACACATTAAATCCACCTTCATTATGTTCTAAAAAGAGTAAGGCAATTTTAACTCACTTTTCCAATTCCATTTTTCTTATCTGTGACTTATTGCTGCAATTGTTACATGGACCAAAATGGGCAGCATTAAGTGGGTGCCACTCAGGGATGACATTTGTAAAAGTGACCAGATTCTTCGTATGTCTGCAAAAAAAAGAAGACATAACTTAAGTTCATGTACATCAATTTAAACCAATGCCTAAACCTTGGTTTGTTTATTCATACTTTCCTATTCCTCCCATGTAATAAATACGCCACTGTTCCTTCCAAACCATAGTAAAGCTCTCTGTGAAGCCTCTTCACCATAATTATGTGTATTTTTTCAGTTGTGAGATGAAGAAAATGTTCAAACCAGGATTTCTCAAGAGCAATACCACTGACATTTTGCACTGGGTAATTCTTTGCCGTGAGGCATTTGTCCTGTGCACTGAGAATGTTTGGCATCATCCCTGGCCTCTACCCACTAGATGCCACTAACAGCTCCAAATGTAGCAACCATTAGCTCCAAACACTGCTAAATGTCCCCTGAGGTGCAAAACAGCCCCTAGTTGAGAACCACTGTTTCCAAATTTATTAAGAGCTCACCCCTTACTTACAAAATTCACAATCTGGCTATCCATATTGACAACCGAAAATGAAAAAAGGCATTTCCAAATATATAATCAGGAATACATACAACTCAATTTTCTTGATCTTTAAAAAATTAGAATACCAGTTGTGAAATAATTTTGTTTTCACAGGTTACAGAAGTTCTAAATTTGCACTTTAGCCTAAATACTTGACAGCAACAGACACCTAAAAAGATATTTAAAGATGTACACTAGGGGCGCCTGGGTGGCTCAGTCGTTAAGCGTCTGCCTTCAGCTCAGGTCATGAGCTCAGGGTCCTGGAATCGAGCCCCGCATCGGGCTCCCTGCTCAGCAGGAGGCCTGCTTCTCCCTCTGCCTGCCGCTTGTGTTTCCTCTCTCTGTCAAATAAATAAATAAAATCTTTAAATAAATAAAGATGTACACTATATCTCAACTGGATTCACTTTAATAAAAATACCTTTAAAAGAGCAATTAATTACCTAAAAAACACTAGTTTTTTTTTTGTAAACAAATACTGTTCAATCAAGGTGAGATAAGTAGAGGCTGTTACAAATATACCAGTTCTCAGGGAAGCTAACATTTTAAAAGCAAAGCGGCGTAAAGTTATCACTAAAACTGAATGACTTATTTCTACTAAATTCTTGCTTCTCACAGACGACTGCTGAGTAAAGTCTCCTGTATTTTAGGCTATAAAAAGGAGTCTGTCTCAGCAAATAAATGTTAATGCTCCACATGACAGCAAACATTTTTGAGCACTTACTATGTGCAAAAGCAGGGTGCTGTGCTAAGCACTCGTCTCCCAAAAAACCCTAAGTGGCAGGTACCATTCTTCTCCCCATCTTACAGATGAGGAAAGTGAAATACAGAGCGCATATCAGATGATAAATGATAGACCTGAGATTTGAATACAGGGAGTCTGACTCCAAAAACCATGTTTTTAAACTGCCTCCAAAATATACTTTGTAAAGCAAGTAAAAGATCTTAAACTGGCCCTAAAAACAGCAGGACAAAACCATGAGTTTGCTGGATATTCTCCCATCAGATTTAGTGGAAATGTTTTAAACTATGATATATACTAAGATGTATTTAATGAAATGCCACTTCATTTTAGCTTTTCCTCTATAACTACTTATTTTTAGAACAAAGGAATTAAAAAAAAAAACAAAACAGCAAACCCAAATGCCAGTGGCTTCTTTCCCTTGAACCCTCAGAGTTTTTTATATACACCTCCAAAATGCACTTAACATTTTGCATTCAAAGTAACTTAAGGCATCCAACAGATCAAAAATAATTACTAAGTCACTGGCCCTCAATTATGTGTTTATATGTTATCTCCCTAACTAGTCTGAATTTGGCCAGGATAAAGATTATTTTTCTGTTAAGTTCCTGGCACATAAAATATACTCAATGAAAAGCTGTCAAACAACTCAGATGTGGATTTTGGAAAAGCTGTAATTAAGCTGATTTTAATCATCAAGCTTGTTTATATTATTTAAAATCCAGGTGGTGATTTAAGGAGTATACCACAGTGAGCAGGAAAGTCTGAGGGCAAGAAACTTAAGCTTGAATTTTGTCACTTAGTAGTGTGTCACCTTGGGCCTTGCCTATTTAACCCCTTTCAAGGTTCACTTTCCACATCTGTCAAATGAGGAGAAAATCAGATTAATTTATATAAATCAATGATAGAAGACCAGGAAATACTGGTTCTTATACTCATAGAAAATTATTTAAGTCCTAGATGAGAGTGAAATGCTTATTCTTACTCTGTTCTAATACTTTTGAGTTAACTGTTTAAAAAAAAGTTTTCTGGTTCTGTTGCTTGTATTCCCTAGAACATTCTCTCAGACTTGACTCTCCTACAAACCAAAAATAATCTCAATTTAGATAATGAGTATCTAAGCAATAGTTTTCTCTCACATTTTTATTTAATAATTTTAAGAGACTCCAAATTTTCTAATTTGCCAGTAGGTAAGAAAAGAGGGAAGGACTGATCTCTACTATAGTGATTTGAATAAATGACCAACAGAACCAGTTTGGTAATCTTTTTAATTGCCAACCAGGAACTTTCTGTGTGATGAAAACTTTCTGACTCCTCTTCCAAAATCTACTCTATTATGGGGTCAGTGTAAGGAAGCAAAAGAAATCCACTGCTGCTTTCTCCTCCATGGTTCTTCCCAAGTCCCAATCTCAGGGCATAAAATGATAGTGTGTCAATCACGACCCCTCTAATCCTCACCTAAGGGCATCAGGGAAGTAGAAAGTAGGCTGAGACAGCTCATTATGCAAGAGGAGTCTGGCGTGGTTGGTCTTTCATGGAGGAATGGGAGAGCCTAAGTTACCTCTCAGAACCGCTGCCAGCCTCTGGGAGCCTCAAATCATAAAAACAAAACCAAACAAAAACCCTAGTTGTTAACAGAGGAATAAACAAAACACGTATCATTTCAAGGAATTCTAAGAAATATTCTTACTCAGCAGGGAATCCAGAGGGGGAGCTGTGAGGGGAATATACTACTCTTCCCATTTGTCTCCCCTTCCACTGAAGAACTTAAGAAAACTCCTACTAATTAACAATCCAGCAAACCATGGTTTTTTATTCTTCCAGTTTAAAAAAGCAAGCAAACTGTAGTTTGTGGAGCTCAAATTTTTCCTTTTAATCTTAACGGTGGGGAGACTTCAAGATATGGTGGGAAATTTTACTGAGCGCAGAAGGAACGAGGGAGAGAGCAGTACAAATGGAAGCAAGTTTTATTCAAATTTTATTATTTGGAACCATTTTCAATAAAATACGTCCATTTTTAAAGAAGAGAAAAACTAACCTATTTTGATACTTGTGTCCGCACTGTGAACATTCAAAGTTCCAAGAGAAAGAATACAGGAAGAGCTTTTCAATGAGGGGTTCCATTTTTAAGAGCAGGGGAAGTGCAAACACAGGACTTTCCATATCACCTTCAAAAAGAAAAGGGAAAATCATTGCTCATAATTAACTGAAAAAAGTAAACAAAAATTATTAACTTACCTTTTGTCACTACATTCACAGTACAAATATATGTGAAAATATATGAATATAGGACAGTTAAGTTATTCACAGTTGGGCAAGGGGAAGTGTTTAAGAATCTTTTTTTCTGGGCGCCTGGGTGGCTCAGTTGGTTAAGCGACTGCCTTCGGCTCAGGTCATGATCCTGGAGTGCCAGGATCGAGTCCCGCATCGGGCTCCCTGCTCGGCAGGGAGTCTGCTTCTCCCTCTGACCCTCCCCCCTCTCCTGCTCTCTCTCTCTCTCATTCTCTCTCTCAAATAAATAAATGAAATCTTTAAAAAAAAAAAAGAATCTTTTTTTTCCTCTTAAAAAGAGAGTGCAAGCACATGGAGGGGAGGGGCAGAGGGAGAGGGAGAGAGGGAATCTCAAGCAGACTCCTCGCTTAGCAGGAAGCCTAATGCATGGCTTGATCACAACCCTGAGATCATGACCTGAGCTGAAATCAAGAGTCATATGCTTAACCAACTGAGCCACCCAGGCTACGGGAAGTTTTTAAAGCATTTTTCTAAAAATGTCTATCATAGGAAAGATTTAATTACCACTTCAGTCCCTGTCTTTCATTTTTCTTGGTGGACACTTATGGAAATGTTTTAAGGACAAAAGACCCATACTATCTCCCTCATATCTTTTTTAGCTTTTCTCTGGAAAAAAAAAAAAATCCTCAGAGCTATAAGAGCCCTAGGGTATAAAACAAAATTATAATATAGCATTATAAAAATTTTAATAAAGTATTATAAAAACAAAATAAAAATATATAAACAGTTCACCACAAATACCAAAAATGATATATCCATTTTAACACTGTAGAATAATGTCAGAGGTGGACAAAACCATTAAAAAACCATTTCTGGTCCAACTCTCTTGTTCTATGTGTGGAGAGAACATGACACACAGGGTTAAAGGGCCAGCCTCAAATCTCCCCACTCCTCATCCACCACTCTTCTTAAAATCTTTTAGTCTCATCTTTTAACAATTAAAATTAGGGGTGCCTGGGCGGCTCAGTTGGTTGAGCGTTGGCTCTTGATTTCAGTTCAGGCCATGATCTTGGGGTGTGAGACTGAGCCCCTTATTGGGCTCCGAGCTCAGCAGGGAGTCTGCTTGAGATTCTCTCACTCTCCTTCTGCAGCCCCCACCGCTCGTTCTCACTCTCTCTCTCTCAAATAAATAAATCTCTAAAAAAACCAATTAAAATTAAACTTCAATGACTTTAAGACTAGAGAAGATCTGATTCCTGGTGTCATTAAAACAAAAACTGCACAGTGAACCCAGTCTTCCAGTTTTTGGGATCAACAGGCAAATTAAATAGAAGGATTTACATTCTCCTCTTACACTTGTTCTCCAATTGGAAGTTTCTTACCTTCCTGCCCTCAGGGGAGCTGAGATGCTGCCAAAGAATTGCAGTCCTTCCCTCCCCTGCCTCCCCAGGACAGTCTCACTTCCATGGTCCAGTTCTCCCCCTAGCCTGGAGCGACAGTAGCCTGGAACTAGGCCAGGAGGAGTCACCTTGGCACGACCCAAAGGCAGAGCAGGAGGTGTTACTGCCTAAACACGCTCTATAAATACCAGGAGGTACAAAGGCTATTTTAACAGTCACCTTTGTGGTATAGTCTCACCACTACTTTTGTACAAAAATAAAAATAAAAATATTTTCTATAAATAGAAATAAATACCAATCAGTCTCCTAAACAGGAACACACATAGCATCACCCCGCATCTAAACAGTGCATAGTACAGCAGGAGTTTGTAATAGTTAGTAGCATTTAAATCTTACTCTACTGTAACTAAATATTAATCGAAAAGTAAATAATTTACACTTCATAATGACAACACAGAATCTTCAGGTCTAAAAATACATAAAGTTCTCAATGAATCAAAATATCATGAAAGAAAAAAAATACCAAAGAAGAGCTCAAAACACACTGTTAAATAAGTTATAGGTGTACGGATCATTTTAGGGAATTTATATAGCTCCTAATTGATCTTAATTATTTTCCTTTGTTTACAAATTTTATGGGTATTAAGCATAAAGCATCCACTAGAGAACATATAATACCAATTAATTCCAATTTTTATAACCTCCTGCTGAAATTAGTTAAGTGGTTTCTTTGCCTCTAGTATCTTCACCCCAACGCCTATCCAACTACCTAGTTTGCATATTTCCCTAAAATACCATCATTTGCCATGATACAAATCTTTCAGTGACTCTTTGCTGTCCAGTCAAGTTTTCTCTTCTGTTAATTGCTCGTTAATGTTTTCTGGCCACTTTTCTATCAGGCTGTCCTTTTTTTAAACTGATGTACAGAATTCTTCACAAGATAGCCAGGATATTACTGCTTTGTTCTCTATCTTTGCCCAGAGGTTTCAAACTTCAATGTGATCATATCTACCACTATTTTATGTACCTTATTTAAAAAATTCTTCTGGTAAAATATTCACCCATATTTTTTCCCTAAGTTCTATAATTCTGCCTTTGCATGTTTAGGTCTTTAAATAGGCTGAAGTTACTTCTGATTACAGTGTCGAGTAGGGATCCAATTTCCCCCGTCTCAGGAACCAGCTGTCCCAGCACCATTTACTAGATAGCCTTTTTTTCCCCCACTTACCTGCATCACCATCTCTGTCACACAGTATGATGTAAGCAAAAGGGGAGGGTTTTCATCTGGACTCTCTATTCTGTTCTACTGGTCTGTGTATCCTTACACTGGTACACTTATCTCAAAGACTAAATTACTCTTAAAATTACATAAATAAGTACAAACAACAATATTATCTTTTTCCTTTAAAAAATTAGACATTAGAGAGAAAGAAAAAATTAAATTGAAGAGAGCAGTTACCTTTGTGGGGAGGTAAGGAAGAAGTGAATTAGAGTACAAAGGGGGCTTCACGTGTATTTGTAATATTTTATTTCTTAAACTGCAGGGAGGGGGAACAGAAAGGATGGTTTATAATGTATTTTTTAAAAACAATAATCAAAATGATACAATGACTGATCTTAAAAATTTAACCAACACTCAGGGTCAGTACAGATTCTCTTTCTCTTTCTTTAGTACTTGAAAGTACACATTAACATTCAGAATAAAGACACACACATTGTAGGATTTTTAAAATGCTCTCCAAAGCAAAGATTAGACTTTACTAGTAAGATCTTAAGCTCCAACATAGCACCTATTACTGCTGAATGAGTAGTATGAACACAAACAAGAGAGGAATTCTATTGTATTAGAAGAGCTGTATGCTTGCCCAATTGCTATGATTGCACAAAATAATAATTTAAAAATTCCTTCTCTGTTACATAGAAAACCAGGCCTAAGGCAGCAGTGGAACAAGATGCAACCTTGTTCCAGATACAATTATCAGGGCTAAGAGGAGTGCTGATTCAGACTGGGGGAGAAACCACTCTTTAATTCAAATGGGAACTGGAGCAGGGACCCTGAATAAAACATCTCAGGTCACTCCAGGAGGGAAAGGACACCTGCAAAATGCACTACGGGAGCCCCTCAGTCTATACTCTGGTAATCTTACAGTAAAGCCTCCTTTGAAATGAGTATCCACCCAACAGATCAGTGGTTTGGGGTAAGAACAGGGGCTGAAGGAGCCTGAAGAAAACTTTTAGGGTGACAGAACTGTTCTCTATCTCAATTATGGTAATGGTTATGTATACACTTAAAAAGGGTATCACTATTACAGAAATTATACTTTGTTAAAAAGGAAAAAAAAATATTCATCCCATCTGAGATCCTACCTGATGATAAATTAGAATAGTCCTTTAGACCTAAAGGAAACAATGCCAAAGATTTGGCATATGGAAATTCAGTTTATTATTTTAAGAACAGAGTAAACATGTATGTAGGAGTTCATGGAAAACAAAATAATAAAACTAGGGAACAGCACAGTGGGACAAAGATATTACCAGGCAAAAAAGACATTGCTTCCAGATATAGTATCTGAGTCTGAAGAAATAAATTTTCTGAGAGAAAAATTTGAAGGCATTGATATTTTACATAATTCAATATGGATATTTAATAGGGGTATCATATATTCTTTACTACAACACAATATTAACAGAAGAGTCACTACAACAATAAAGAGAAATAAAACAAAAAGACACTACCCTTGGAAAAAAAAATCACCAATGACTCTCTTTTGCAACACTAAACAATTTTCCGAAAGCCCCAGGATTCTAGCACCCTAGCTCTACTCTGCTCCAAGGCTAAAAGCCAAATCATAGAGAACAAAGCAGGTCTCATTCTTCTGCCCTTTTTAAAAGTAAGCAAAGCTTTCCCAAAAGTATACTTCTCCTCATATTTTATTGATGAAAACTGTACCATATGTCTATTCCTAAACCAATCACTGGCAAGGGAAGTCCGATTACTATGGTTGGTTTAGATTAGAGATTCTCAACCCTGTTCATCCTTAAAAATCACACAGGGGCTTCTAAAAATTGCTGATACCTGAGCTCCATCCCTGAGATTCTTATTTAATAGACCCCAAGCATTTTTCAATCCCCTAGGTGTTTTTAATGTACAGTCAAGGTTGAAGACGCTGAATTAGTCTACTGGGGGAAAGTACTGGAAAAGCAACCAATGGTGTCAACCCCTGAGTATCCACCTGGTTCTGAAAAATGCATCCACTTTTAAGGGGTGGAACACAAGCCTATATATTTATATGGAACAACGACTCTGCCCACCAATGATTTAACCAACGGTAGGCTCCTAAATGAAACTACACAGATTCTCTCTCCCAAGAATCGAATCACCCAAAATAATAAAATAGTATTATATTTTCTTATGATGTTAAGTATTTCTTTATGGTAAATGAGTAATACAGTTAAATAATACAAATTACTTACCTAATGTGCATCTAAGCTGAGGTTGAAGCCTAATGAAAATTTCATCTCTGACTTCATTCAGACAGGTCTCCATCTTTGCAAATATTTCTGAAGTAAGTTTTTTACAATCTCCATCTAAAAATGAAACACAGATTATCAATTTCTTATCAATCTCTATCTTTCCACAGAAAATTAAGACATTACCAAGAATGGAAGTTCATCAGAGTCAATAAATTTAGCAGAGACAAAATGGAAAAGACAAAATTTCCTTAATTCTTATTCCTCTCTCTGTGCCATATATTGCCCTAATATTCCCTCAGCCCAGTATCATTAGTTCCGACTGCATGAGCCAACATCATTGTGTTTGAGTAAATCTCAGTAAAAGCCTTTCTCATCCAAATAATCACAGGCCTAGCAAGAGATCTATGCTTTCAGATATTCTGCCTATCTCTGAAACAGCTGAAGCTATGTCTTTACATGTGATTATTACTCATGCTAGAGACAACATCTACTCATTTATTTCTTTGTATAACTTTTATTACTTCACACGAATTTGCTTCATTAAACACTCTGCAGATTAGTTATTACACACCAACTGAATCACAGTTTTATTAACCATTCACCTAGTGCTGGACAACTAAGTTGTTTCTTTTTTCACTATTATAAATACTATCATGATAAACATCTTTTGGGCACATACCTATCCATGTTTTTGTTCATTTCTTTAGGGTTAAAGTACTCAGAATTATTGTGTCAAAAAACCAGCCCCCATATGCATCTCACTCTAGTTATTAAGCTACAAAAGATTTCACAAAAAAAAAAAAAAAAAGATTTCACCAAAATCTCTTATAATTCATATAGCCTGATCATGCTGTTGATATGTTTTATTAGGAAAATATCTGGATTCTCCTATAATATGAAGTAAGCATTAACCAGAATTTTTATTTGACCATGCCAAAAAAAAAGAGAAAACTTAAAATTCAAAGTCAACTTAAATGCAATTATAACCATATTATAAAAACTGTAATTATTCTGTAAAAAATTAATATGACTGAATATACAGTATGGGTGAAATAAAGAGAATTAAGAGTACACTTACTGAGTAACGTATACAACTGCTGAATCATTTCATTGTACACCCAAAACTAATATAACACTGTATGTTAATTATGGCTCAAAAAAAAAAAAACTACAAAAAATAAAGTGGCTATGCTTTATAAAAAAATTAACATAATTAAAATTAATTCAACATTCAAGTCAAAATTTGAACAAGAAATATACTCTTCTGTAATAATCAATTGAACTGTCACCTAACTCAGTATTGGGTTCCCATAATTATATAGAACAGGAATACAGAGAAGGAAAGGCAAAACAAAAATACTTATAAAAAACTGAATTTTAGGGGCGCCTGGGTGGCTCAGTCGTT